CTCAGTGTGATTTAAGCTTTCAAAATAAGCTGGGTTTTTTGTTTTGTTTTGGGGTGTTTTGTTGGGTGTTTTTTGCCAATGGAACAAGGAAGAAATCCCACTCATGCATCCATTTGTCAAGTTTCCCACATTCTCCAAGAGCAGCTCTTTGATGCTGGGCTACAGTAGTTTGGATGGCAGTTAAAAAAAAAAAATCACTAAAATAGTGTGCCAAGGAGGAAGTCGATGCAAAGCCCGTGGGGGAGCCTGGCCACAGGAAGCACATTTGCCCAGACACCTTCCCCTTGAATGGCATGTGTGGTGTCAGCTTTACTCTTCTCATGTTGATGATTAAGCTAATCATCAACAGGATGGGAATCAAAATGCCACTGTTTCAAAAGTGCAAACAGAAAAAAATGTGTTTGTTCAGTGCCATGTTCATACCCCTCAATGTCAGTGCTCTGCTCTTTCCATCCAGACCCTCCACCGTGGGGTTCTGATCAACTGATTACTACTGTTACCAACAGCTTGTAATTTTCAATTCTCAGTAAGGGCCAGGAACACATTTCTAGAAGTCAGAATTCAGTAATGATTTTATGAAGCATTTTACAGAATGGAAACTTCAGAAGAACCTGCTCACTGCTCTCCGTGCAGCTCACACACCGGGGCTAGGTTAGGAACCATTTCATTCTTCTGCATTAACATTTAAGTGGTTAAAAACTCTACAATCTGTTTACAAATGGTGCAGAATTTGTACCTGCCCAAGACTTCCCCATATCTTAGCTTGAATGGAAGGATACATCTGCTTCTCATTTATTGTCATTGTGATGAGCTTATCCAGAATAGCAGTGACTCGCTGGCGCTTGGCATCGTCGTTGTGCTTGCAGAACCTGACCAGGTTGGACAGCCAGGGAGTCATGTACTCCAGACACAGGTGTTTCAGCTCAATACCTGAAAGAGAAATGCACCTTGGAACACAGAACCAGCACTGGCCTCTGTTCATAAATCGTTCTCTGTGAGCACTTCTCCTTTCAGTTTTGCTGTCTAAAATAATTACTGTCAGAGCTGAGCAAAGAACACTGGGCAAACAGAGAAGCTTCAAAAAGAAACACTAATAACTCCAATAATGACACCCAAGAAACATCTGTAGGCATCTGGCAAGGAGATGGTGACATTTTAATATCTTATTACAAGATGTGCCATAAAAATGTGCACATTCGATGTTAGGCAGGACTACTTAAATTAAAGTCTTTTTAATCTTTGGAAAATATTCTAAACAGCTCCCAACAGTAAAGTCAGAGCTGTGTTATGCCTGGAAAAAAGAGATGGCACAAGGAGGGCAACAGAGCCAGATGTACACCAGAGAGAGAGGATCCTCGGAGAAGATCAGCTTTGATATGACTAAAGAACCTCTGACTCTCTTCTGTGCATGTATATTCCAGAGTTCAAACCTTCACTATCATGGACCTCAAATTTAAGCTTTTGTGCTGTATTATTCTCCACTTCTGGTGCATTAATAACAGCCCAACAGAAATCTACCCAAAGTAATCACTGTACAAACTATGGATATGAAAGGAATTGTTTGCATTGTGATCTCTCTGAATGCACTGAACTCTCTCAATGAGTGAGATGTCTAGCAAAACTTGTTTTAACATTAATTTCAAAGTTTAAAAAAAAAAGGCAGCTGCCTTTTAATCTGCTTCAGGAGAAAGGAGAGGGCACATTCAAATATGAAAAGTTTTGTTCCAAGAGCTGCCATCCAGTCTGGGAAACTGTCTGCCTTGAGGGTGTTACACTGCTGGGCTCCAGGGACACAGACAGGAACAGATCATCTGCAAACCAGCCCCAAGCAGAATTTACAATTTAAACTGACTGTAACTCAGTAAGCTTAACTGACCAAGGCAGACAGCTACTAACCTAAATCCTGTCACATTCAGGGTGAGCATTAAGACACACTAGAGTTACTCACTGGATTTGCTAAATCCCGAAATACACTCCTCCAAGAACTCCAAGGTGAGGTGTGGCTCGTTTGCTGCAAGAGTCTTACTGATGGATACAATAAACAGTGTGTTGTTGGCAGGAATACACAGACCTGAAGTTTCCAGTAACTGGCCCTCAATCTTTAAATTAAAGGTACAGGTTAAGGCACATAGGAGATTATAGGCAGCAGACCTGTAACAAAGCAAACAACATGATTTGTAGGAGTTTTCTTGTACATTTGCAAATATACACATTGTTCATCACAGCAGCAGTATTGACATTTTAAAAATCAAATCCATTTTAAAACCCAAATCTATAGCAGAAATCACATCTAAATCCTGAACTTTTCCCCTGCATCAGTTACAATTCAGAGACAAACACACTTGCCTTGGAGAAACAGAAGAAATTATTCTTCCACTTGCTCTGAACAATTTCTGCTGAGGGTACAGAGTGTGCTTGAAGGGCTTTGTATGGGACTTCTCAGAATGGCTTGTAGTTCCAGGAAATCCTAAATCATTCCAGGTGCACCTGAGCTGCTGGACAGAGCCTGCCCAGGGCCCAGAGGTGCCCCTGGCCAGCACACAGCCCAGAGGAGCCCGTTCAGACATGGATCATGAGCCTGCTCTAAGGCTCCCACATGATTAAACAACAGGTTCAACACCATGGAAATCAAATGTACCTAATAAACATACAGTGCAAAGCAGAAGTATTTCTCCTTATAAAGAGAAATTAAGCTTCCTACATGACTTCAGTTCCTCTCACAGTGTATGCCTTTCTTCACCTATAGAAACCCAATCTTCCTTTATTAGAAATTACTTTTTTATGGAGCTGTGGTGGCAGAAAAACGATTAGATCTTCTAAACTAAGGAAGCCTTGGAGAGAATTCTCACATTTTGACCAAAGCTGGTATTGATTTCAAAGCTCTGTACCTCAGACTGGGGTCTGAGCTCCCCAGGTTGAGCAGTGCTATGTTCAGCAGCGTTCCAGGGACATCCTTGGGACGGATTTTGGTGTGCTGAGGGATGGAGTCTGGCTGGGACAGCTCCCACCGCGTCCGGATGTGGATGATGGACCTCACGATGGCTTCACACTCCTGATGCATGAAGGTGAGTGGTGTGCCTTGGTTGGCAATGGTCAGGGTGAACTGGTTCTCATCAACGAGACAGATTTCCTCAATCTCAGAGGCGTAGTAGATGTCATTTAAAAACACTGTCTGGCCCAGGACTCGTGTTCGCTCTGCCGATGTCACCTGCACAGCTGTCGACCCAACCTTAGAAAGAGAACAGAGAACTGGCTCAGCACCTTCTGTTAATCATACAAAGAGAAAAGTCTGACACTCCTAATTTTATAAAAGATAAACGTATGAAATTTTATACTTCTTAAAGGAGCATACTAGAAATTGTGATTTCTCCTCGAAATGGAAGGAGAACTAAGAGACAGAAAAATCACTAGGAAGAGCACTAAAAGCACTTACTTTAATAGAAACTTTGGTGTCTTTATGAGCCAGCTTGAGAGCATTGTGAAACACTTTCAAGTCCTCCTCCAAAGCCAAGGTAGCTGCTGGGAGCTTCTGCTGGTCGTGTTCGATGTGCTCTGCCAGCTTCCCTGGAGAGTCTATGAAAACAAGCCTTTTGCTTCCTTTCAAACCTGTCAAGAGTCTTTCATGGTATTTGGTGTATTCTCTGACCCAAGAGTTACAGTTATAAATAAAAACTGCTGCGACATTTTCATAAGCAAAGCCTGGAAAAACTACAAACCATTTAGAAAGAAAGTCTGTTTTAAAGCGATTACTGGGGCCAGCGTGGGTGAGGTCCACCACGATTTCATATGGCTTTGCATAGTATGGCTTCAGGGTCAGCAGCACGTGGTAGATGAGCAGATCACCATTGATCTGGCCAGTCTTGAACCTGTGGGATGAGACAGACATGGCTGGGTTACATCTGAGAGCCACAGCACAGAGCCTGGGCCTCAGGCCCACCAACACCTCTCCTACCACGGACACGAGCCAGGCTGAGCCTCCACACCCCGGAGCCACCTCAGGGGCACCAGACTGGCCCCTGCCACTGCTCCCCCAGGGTCACAGCCCAACCCCGTTTAGTGCCCAATGTGCTGGAGCTCGACTTGGGATTCAACTCAACCACAACCTCCCACAGCCAAGTGACCTCTAGGGGGTTTGTTCAACTAAGAGAAAAACCCAAGCCATGCTGGAGCAGCAGTGCAGCTGGATTGCATGGAAAGAGCTCAAGAGCTTCTTCAAAAATAAAAGTGCTTCTAACTTTGCTACCACTTCAGAGATTCAAATTATATCTATTTTTGTATGTGGAAAAATATACTTATCTCAGGAGTTTTAATTAAGAATAAATAAATATCCACACCAATTTTTTCGAATCAGACCCATTCCATTTGCTATATACTGCAACACTCTAATGCTTGGGGGAGTGTTTCCAAGAATGGTCAGTCCTCTGAGGACTACAGAGGATTTGTCTACAAAAATAACTCTTTCTGGAAAAACATTCACATAATTAAGAATAATTTTTCTCATTTAAAGATTCTGTGAATTTTGAGACTGGGCAACACATCTGCCTAAACCACATCTCCAGAGTTCACACAGCAGACAGAATTCTACTGGGAAGAATTAATTAAAGATAAATACATCAGTAGCTCATGAAAATTTAAGGTACTTTTAAATCCCTGCCACTGTTCCAAGCTGTCATTAACTCAACTCTGTGAAGCAAACAACAGGATACAGGCAGAGCTACTAAATGCTGTAGGCACAGCTGTAGCTTCGAGGGTACCAGGGCACCTGTCCCAGTAACACCCAAGTGCAGGACACCTGAGGAGATGTCCTGGACACAGAACATCTGTCTGCCCAAGAGCCTTTTCTCCCGTTCCTTCTGTTGCTCTGAGCTGGGCAGGTGGGTGTTTTCCCCTCCCAACTGTCATGGTGTGGCCGTTACCAAAAGGAAGTGTGTCATCACTGTGGTTTGAGTTCCCCACTCAGAGCAAACAACACGTCATTTCAGTTCCAGATTTGCCTAAAATATACCAGCATTGCCCAAAACTCCTTGCTGCACACTGATGGTCGTTTGCATCCTAAGAGCAAATATATGCACAAAGAAATCTTATTGTTAAAGGACTAAATATCTGAAACACCCATTTTCTGTTGATTACATCTTGGCAAGGTAAGTACCCATTTTCCTTCTCCTATTTTAAGTAGCACTCCAAAGTTTCTTATCTTTTGTAGAAAATAATACGCAAAAGTATTTTTAAAGAAGTTCAAGTAACTCAAAAATAGTAACAAACTGCAGAAATATTATCTCAACTGAATCAAGGAAGCTGATAAACTGTATTTTCAGTCCTGTTAAAGGTTATTCGTGATCAGACTCCAAGGAATTAGCAGTGACAGTCACTACTTAGCTCTGTTGTTCCTGCACTGCAGATCTCACAGGGCACTGAGACTCTGTCAATACCCAGACACAAAGGGTTGAACTCAAAAGAAAAACAGCTCTTTAAAGATCAGTTCCTTTGCTCTGGTGATTTTAAGCAGAGCCCTTCACGCCATCAGCCTGTTGATTTTTAAGAAAGGCCATCTGGTGTGGGCCACTACAATGAACAGTGGGCTCAGTGTGCTGGGGCAGCAGGAGGAGCTGCTCCCTGGGCACTGCCAGGAATGCCCAGTGTGTCTGTGCCCGTCCTGCACGGCCGGAGCCTCGGCCCCAACGGGCTCAACAAAACAGGCCTGGCTTTCTAATTCCCCTCTGTACAGTGTGCTACAAGGGATCACCCAGGTGACTCCTACCAGGTACAGATAAAAACTCCCACTGAGCTGGAGCTGATTACTAAGATGGTTGGAATATTTCAGAGAATTATTTTATGGTCTGGGTGAACTGCAAAGTTAAAGACACAGATCTTCTGCTGCTCCTTTGCCCTGTAAGGAGTGAGCTCCTCACACAGGTGTGTCACTGCTTTCCCCTCCCCTGCTCACACACCAGGCACGTCACTTCTCCCCTCTTCCCAGAGTCCCTCAGCAATTCCAAGTGCTGCCATCTGGATTTTGCAAGATAGGAAGTTTGCCCCTCTGGTGTCTGGGAGTGAACAGATCCCATTCTTTGGTAGGTGTGCAAGCTTCAGACTATGAGAAAAGCAAACACTGTCTGGAGTATTTCAGAATTACCAAATTTACACACACAGACAGATACACTTTGTTACCTTTAAAAACAAATTTGTTCAAGAACAAATATACTTATAAAATTAACACTATTCCTCTTGGTCATTCTCTGTAGTATTTATATCTGAAACCAGTAGAGTCTGTAACATTCAAAGGAAATATTCTGATGTGTTACTAGAAGCCCTGGATGGGACACCAGCCCTAATCTCTGAACATCTCAGGTGCAGCCTGGCCCAAGCAGCAGCAGTGGGTGGGTCACAGCTTGGCTGATTCCTCGTTGCTATTTTGAAGGTTTTATCTCAACATCAGACCCATCGGTATCAGAAACTATCAGTTTCCTGCCCTGCAGACAAATTCAACAAGTACAAATTTGAATACCACACAAATGTGAAACAGAACATATTAATGGTTAATCTCACTGGCATAATTATCTGAGACATTTTAAAGAAAATGTCACAATCTGTAGCACGTTTGGAAGAAAAATGCAAGTACGTTTTATGGTAAATAGCTTTTTGTACAAAAAGGCAGAAAAACTGGAGAACAAAGATTTTCCTGGGCATTTTAAAGTACTCCAGACAGCTGTGCTAGAAAATAGAAACAGTTCACAAGTTACTACTGTCACAGGAACGTTTTGGGTGAAAGTTTTCCCCTTGCCCATCTCTACCAGCATGGTTCCATTGGCCATGCCCAGGGGAATGTGGGGGGAGGGAAGCAGTAAACCTGACATGGTTTCTCCATCCCCTGTGCAGAAGTGAGGAGTGAGGAGCTCAGAGTGTAACATGGCCAGGCTGGAGAGGAGGAACTGCCAGAGGCTGCCCCGACACCACTGGGCAGGGAGTAGGAAACACTTTCCTTTCTCTCTTTGCCCCATGTCCTTTTTTAATATTCGTATATTTTCTATAAACCCCAAACTGTCAGAAGTTGGAGACAAGTGATCCTTTCACAAAACTGAGTGCCTGAACTCACGTGCCACATCCACTAAAACTGAGGCCAACTTACACACACTGTCCATCAAAAGGCTGCTCCCCGCTGTTCCCTCAGAAGTCTGGTCCAAACCCCTAAGAACCAGCACTTGCTAAACTAACACCACCATCTGTATTTTTGCAGGGGACAGGAAGATGAAGACAAAGAGATGCACTAACCCATGCCTGGCCTTCCCTGTCACGATGATCTTCTCCCTGTGTTTGCAAACGAGCGCGAACCACAACGGTTCCCTTCGGGTTAGAGAGGAAGCCTGGAATCCCATCAGCCAGAACCTCAGTGGGAGCCAGAACAGAACAGAAGCCAATACAAATTCTCCTCTGAGCATCAATTTCAGCAGCAAAATTACTACCTTTGAAATGCAAAGTACCCTGCAGTCCTTCTCCTCCACAGTGGCCCAAAATCCAACATCTTCCCCTGCCACAAGTGCAGTTTCTGCCACTGGAGGACCCAGGAATACCAGCAAACCCAAGAGTCCAGTGACCAAAGAAACATGTGAAGACAGTAAGTCTCTTGTACTGATTTGCTTCATTATCATTGCAGTACTTGTGCTTATCTGCACCTTCCTATTTCTGTCCACAGTCGTAATAGCAAATAAACTGTCCTATCTCAAAAAAACTCAGCAGGGGAAACGCAGGCCCAGGAGCAACGGGGACATTGTGGCCACCAGCAGCTTATGGCCAATGGCAGCAGGAACGTGGCAGAGGATGCCCAGGGAGACAGCTGGAACCGAGCTGACAATGCAGGACTTGCTCTCAGGGAGGGACACGGGGAACAGAAGGAAAACTGAAGATGAAACTACTGAGAAACTCACTACAGCAACAGACAGTGCACAGGAAAACAAAGAACCATCCCAGTCACACAAACCCATTTTAACCAATTTTGTAGTTGAGATTTAATTCACACTCCAGTAAAAATTCATCTTTTGCCCTTTTTACATCATTAATGTAAGGTAAAACCTCAGCTTTTAAGAAACAACATGAATTTTCCCCCAGGAAAGCTGAATTCAGATTTTAGAGGGTTTTTTTCTTTATGCCAGTGGGAATGGTGCAGCCAAGTGTGGATCTAGAAAGGAATAAGACTGTGTTAAACAGCTTTCTGTGCTGAGTGTCATGGTTGGTTTTACTCCTTGGACCAGAAATCCCTGTGACAGGAGCTGAACAGGATAAAACAAAGGGACAGAATCTGCCCATGCTCAGGGCAGAAAGGAACAGACTGTTAGTCTGATAAATGCACCCAAGCATGAGACACTGCACAGGTATAACCAAGTAGCTTTTTTAAGAAAACCATACATCAACCACTGAATCAGGATCTAGTCCCTCTCAACATGCCCTTCTGGGTTTTTCCATCAAGAACTTCTTAAACCAGCTTTATTTCTTTGGAACCAGACTGACATTCAAACCACATTTATTGTGTTTCCATGCTGTGTATGAAGAGATGAAGTTTGTGCTATTTGTTAGAATATGAGAACCGTTTCAATTTATCCCAATAAACTTGCAACATCCATTTTTAAATAACTTGACTTATGTGATACTATTTCTCTAAGTCAAAATATTAAAAAAAAAACAGGACACCAGGCATTTTGGAATTTCCTGTAACATTAGCTGAGCTCAGTAAAGGTCTCTGATGACTCGCTGTGATTTCTTGCATCACAGAAACACACTCTACTTTCTCCTAACACCAATTAAAACATGCCAAAAATTTATTAAAACCACAAGAACTTTCAGTTTCTTTATTCTCAGAGATCTGATTTCCTCACAATTCCAGGCAGATGCCTCTGTCTGGTCTCCCTGCAGCAGAGCTTTGGTGTTTTAAGGAAACATGAGAAGCTTTTCACAGGCTACTTCTTGGAAGAAGATCTGTTGCCCCACAATTACAAGTGCTGAGCCTGCACGGTGTCAAAGCTCCAAAGAGCCTGGGCAGCTGTGACAGTTCTGACACATGAGATGGTTGTATGAATGTGAAAGAATCAGGACATGACCAAATCCCCAACCCAGCTCCATCAGATCACCAGAACTCGGTTGAACAGGCAGGTGGAGGAGCAGCAGAGAGGCAGCACCACAGCACATGGAGCCAGGAGAGAGCTCAGAGAATGCAACTGCCCAGCTCAAAGAGGGTTGGACAGTAAGGAAAATGAAGGACTTCACATGTTTAGCCTAGAACTGGGAGTCATTAGAAAATAAGTTCATTGGACATGGGAAGAAAAAACATCCATAGGGCAAAGTCCCACAAATCTCCCCTAAATCACAAATTCAGACCCAAGAGCTCCAAGAGAGGAGTCCAGCACACAAGTGCAATGGGAGGGCACAGGATTATGTCAGGCAACTCCAAAACATGAGGAGAAAGTCCAGGAGAAGAATAAGGGGACAGAGACAGATCAGTGATGACAACCCAGGACCCAGAGGAGACAAAGAGAACATCCCACAAGGGTGACAAAGAGCTGAAGGGCAGGGCTGGGGATGCTGCACTGCAGCCACAGGTGGCAACAGCAGAGGCTGTGCAAGGACTAAAAAAAGACTGAGACAGCCAATGTGAGAATCTGCCCTGGAGTAAAACTGCTCCCATCCAGGAAGGCAAGAGAACTGACCCAGGAGAACGGATCCATACGGGGCAGCCAAGAACACAGGAACAGCCAGGGCAGACAGGGGGGATGGGGATGAGACAAAGGAATCAGACAGGAAACACTGAGTTACAGTGTGGGCATGGGATCAGGATGTGTGTTTGCTGCAGGAACAGGGACAGCCTCAAAAAGAGAAGCAGTGCAATCAGAAGGGAGGTACAACAGGAAAGGCAGGAGGAGATGAAGAAGCTGTGGAGCAATCTGTCAGCAGCCACTGGAGGAAAACACTTGCAAAATGCCATGAGGACATATTTGGTGTGGGCTTCTTTTCACCAGGCAGCCTTTCCAGGCAAAAATGGTCAAGGAGACAAAAGAAAGTAGTTCAAGTTACACTCCACGGTGTGGACAACAAGGAGTGGGAAGCAGCTTCTCAGAGCACAGCCCCCCATTAATGATTGCAGCAGGTACCAACATGGTCCAGGCAGAAAACTAACAGTGAGGGACAGGCCGAGCATGAATCTGGAGTTCATCTGCCTCTAAATGCAACCACACAAGTGAGGATGTGTAAGCAGCCAGCACCCCATGATCAGACAGTGTTCCATGACTCACTGCCCAAGGCTGGCTTTCCACTAATAATCCCGAGGGCACCAAACCCACCACTGAAACTACATCAGTGATTCCAATCCAGCCCAAATTTGCATGGGGTTTGACTCACACAGAAGAAACTGTAACTATTTTCTACAAAGACAGGCAAACGAGTATTTATGAATTTCCACATACGTGTCTCTCACGTGGCCAAAGCCACTGACACATCCTGCAGCAGTCCAGAGCAGCAGAGCAGAGTGGTTTGCTCGTGGCACACGCGATCTCTGCGATAAGACCCTGCGAGCTCCCGACGCTTCCTGCAGCGAGGGTTGGCCAACTTCCTCTCAGCTGCACCAGCCTCAGCATGAAAGGGGCCATTTTAAGCAGCTCAGCTCTGAGCACACTCTCTGTCCTCCTGAGGCTTCAAACAACAGAGTAAGACGATGCTTGCTTGAGAGAAGATAAATGTACAGGTAAGGATCGACTTCCACAGGGAAAAGCTCACTGTTTGTATTATTTGGGTTGAAATGGAGCTGCACCGTGTTCAGCACCGTGCACATCCCAGCTCCGGGGTGTGTGCAGAGCTTTTGTTGAATGTCTGTATCGTAAAAGCATGAGGGTTTCAAATATGTTGTTTGGGGATGTTACTATGAATTACCATGAAGTCTACATGTAACTATTATTTGTCTCTCTTTTGAAAAGAGGTGAGCAGAATAAAAATTCAATTGAACCATTTTAACCTGTAACAAACCTGACAGAGTTCAGATCCTGATGTTCTCAAGATGCATTAACTACTCATGTGTGTTTACACTGCTGCATCTAAAATTCAATTTTGCATATTTGTAAACCCATAAAGACTCATGCATATTCATTTCCAAGAAATAGCTTCACAGGACTAGCACTAGTGTAGCTAATGAATTAGCTCAAATTGCATGAAAGTAACTTCAGAAGGAAAAGTTCTGTTTAGGGGATGGATTTTATAGCATTTATTTCATAAGGAGATGTTCAGAGATGTGAACTCTAATCAGTACAAGAAAAAAAAAAATCTGTCTCATGCCAACAACTGAGCATTTGTACAATCTCCTCCACTGTCCTGTGCAGGAATTCATTTATAAAACAGTTTACCATTAGAATGCTGTTCCATCACAGCACCAGTACTTGGGAAACTTTTAAAATATTTTGCTATGCTGAAGAGATGTGAGAACAGGAAATAAAAGACCTGTGATTTAAGAGATCTGTGAAGAGCCTTTTTACTTTGGTCTCATCTTATATTCATCACAACAAACCATTTCTTCACTCCTGACAACACTGTGTGTCAACCCCACTGTCAGTGCTGCAGAGTGTGGTCCAGGGCCATGACCAGTTCCACGACTGACAAAGGTTATTTTGAAACCCTGTCAGGATTGCTCTGCTGATAACTTTTTCAGATAAGGTGAAACAAGAAAATAACAATCAAGACATTCTCTTCTGAAAAGTCACTTAATTACAATAATCAATAATGTTGAAAATCTGCTGTTATTTGTAAAGTCAGTGGCAAACCTGCTGATCATGCAGATGGGAATAGGTTTGAAATCTGAAACATTGGGTCAAGTGTTATTTCACTACAATGGTATTGATGTAAAACTGCCTGGAGGCAGCAAAGTGTAACCACACAACAAATGCATTTTTCAAGTCACCATGTTCTGTGTCTTCCCTGCATTAGGAGAGGACACATTTAAAGAGGCTGGAGGGAAATGGCCAGCAACCAGGTCATCCTGGTTCTCTTCTGTGGAGAAATCTGGAAGTCCCTTTCCACAGCAGCACCTGGACTCAGTTTAAACCCTTCTGGCCCAGCACTGGCTGTTACAACACCTCGGGTGCCCACAGGAGAGGAAGAGGCTGGCGATGGCAGCTGGGTAGCAGCACTGCTAATTGGCATCGTTCTGCTGGGTATGATATTGGCAATTCTGGTGATTCTCCTGTGGAAATGCTGCCTGAGGCCTGGGCCTGCTCTGGCCAATTCCCACTGGGCAGGTCGGTCTCCCTTCGCAGATGGAGACACTCCAGACCTCTTCCTGGACTCTGACCAGGATAACAAACGGTCATCAGTTTTATTCATGCTGCCTTGGAAACTGAAACAAGGCTCAAACTTACAGCAGGATCCCACTGGATCAGAGAACCCATCCCAGCACACTACCAGCAATGAGAATGGGCAGCTGCCTCCCCCGGCCGGAACAGCAGCTCCCAGCACAGACCCACCCCCTGCTCCCTCCTCAGAAACAGGGAATGCTGCAGGTGACTCCTGTCCTCACCCAGACACTCCACCTGAGTCTCACGACCTGCCACCTCCACCTGACTGGCTCCAGGAACCCCCCGAGGATCCCAGCTCGGATCCCAGCAAGCACTCGGCATTGCACTCGGGAGCAGAGGAACCACTGCCCCCACCACCTGAGCTCCTTCTTCAGGAGACTGGTGAACCACTGCCCCAGCCAGAACACCCTTTGGAGACTGCCAAAAGTCATTTACAGAATACTCCACATTCTTCCTAAACTAAGTATTTTTCAAACAAGTGAAAAAAAGAGAAGTTGATGCAGGCAAGAACAGTGAGGCCATGGCACAGGCATTTCCCCGGTGTTTCCCAACTTCAGCTTTCACAAGAGGGAACAACCTGCTTCTGCCCGAAGCAAATAATTTCCAAAGACAATACAAATTGTGCCCACTCGTTATCTGTAGCCGGAGATTCCCGAGGTGGGAGCCTCCAGAAGCCAGAGTGCACACTGCTGGCTGTGGCAGGATAGACAGATCCATGGAAGGCACACATGGAGATGCAGCTCCGAGACAGCCCAGCTTCAGAGGGACTCAGGGTTTCTGAGCAGGGTTTGCTCCACTGGGCTGTGTAAGTGAATGCAGGGAATTCCAGTTCATTTTAATAAAGCTTTCTAATTCAAAGATGGTTTGGTCACTCAAAGCCCAACTGAGTATTTGCTTAGATACAGAGCTTCGAATTCAAAACAAAGCCTAAACCATCTGCCATCCCTGGAAGTTTTCAAGGCCAGGTTGGATGGGGTTTGGAGGAACCCCATGGTTTGGAAGGTGTCCCTGCCCATGGCAGGGGGTGGAACCAGATGAGCTCTAAGATCCCTTCCAACCCAAACCATCCTGGGATTCTGGCATTTATATAAAGGCCTGTTTTCTGCCTGTCACAGGGTAACAACCTGGTACCTGTGGATTACAGGTACCAACCAGATCCTCCCAACAGCCAGTGGTTGCTCTTTACCACCAGGAATGAGATTTCCTTTAGGTCAAATATAAGCAGAGAGCTGACTGGTGTAAAAGCTCCAGTCCCTTCCCACTACAGCCTGGTAAAGCAGAGAACAGTATAAGGGAACAGTTAATATCATGGTCACTAAAAAGCTCAAATCACTCCAAACACCTGAAGAACAACTACAAAAAGGCTTTCTTGTTCCTAGAGCCTTTGGATTGTTGTGCATAAATGGGAAAGTTTGCAGCACACTCAGGCAGGTGATAAGCAGAACCAGTTGTGCACATTCACTGATTTCTTCCTCTGAAGCAGTACTTTCTGAAAGCTTTCAATTATTAATACAGATTTAAAAAATTCATTTAATGTTTCATGGATACCAGATCCCTTTGAACTCAAGGTGTCCAAGTGCTACTCCGGGCCTTGAGTACCAGCAAAGCTCACCCCCCTAACACCAGCCTTTGCTAAGCTAATTTTTGGGTGGGTGGGAAGAAGCAGAGTGGTCTCAGAAGTAAATTAATGCTTTTTTTTTTTAACCTGTGTTGAATATCCATATTTATAGAAACAAGTTGCTAGATGCTGAAGTTAACTTTCCATGACAGCTCTGCAAAATGGCACAGAGTTTGGAGTTTTGAGTTTGCTTGAGGAGGGAATGGATTTGTGGATGTAGCACAGGGCACAGGTTTACACACAATAAACTTCAAAATCTTTAAACTACCACCAATAAAGAGAGCAGTACATTATGCAAGTGCAACTCCTGGCTGCTGTGCATATAATGGCCATAGGAAAATATATTTTAAATTTTTTCTTACAGTTTACATAAGCTGTATGACTGGGTATGCCTAAAGAATAGCATAACAACTATACTAAGATTAAGGCTCATTATAACCTGTTAGAATTTACAGTGTTATAAACTACAAACACTCTTACCATATTGCTTGAAGAAATTCAGACAGAGGTTTCCTGTAGGAATCTGTACAATCCTACAAGCTGAGCTACATTATACCTGACAATACGGTGACACCTGATCTGAGGAGTGGAAAAGGATTTTAAAATTATGAAAATATATTCTGGCACTGTAGCTTAAAAAAGCTTAAGATAGGAAGCCTAAATTAACATTAACCTCTATTACAGGAGGAGAGTTTAATCAAAGATAAAAAAGAACACAACTAACCTGACTTTTCACACAGAAACACTAAATGGAACAATCACAGCTCAGGCTCCAGCAGCCTCCAGACATCCCCCGGTGCCGCTCCTGCAGGCACTGCCGCGTGCCTGGAGCACGGACAGCCTGCACTGGAGCTGGGGAGCAGCTCTGTTTGGAGCACTCCCAGCCTGCTCTAGAGCTGTGGAGCAGTTCCCTGGCTGCTCCCAAAGCCCGGGCAGTTCCTGGATGTGCTCTGCTGTGCACCAGCCCCACGGCTCTGCAGTGCCGCGGATCAGGTGGTTGCGGAGCCGCGCAGGAACACGATGCAGCTGAGGAGACAAGCACAGCCCCCGGCAGCCTCTGGAGCTGCTCTCCAGAACAAGGCGACCTCTAAGCTCCCATCCATCACGGAAACGATGTGCTGATACTGCAGGAGACCACGGTAAGTTTGTGGCTTTTTGTTTTTAATCACAAAAACCTACTACGGAATCAGAGACGGAAACGGGAGCGGAATTAGGAGTTGCTGACAGATGCTTGCACCAGAAATTTGCTGCAGTGTCAGAGATTTCTTACTAACAGCAATTCGGGCTCTGGACATGTGTTACCAGCTTTGAGAATGTGATTAACACTGTGAGGAGGGGAAAAATACTAATGTGCATGTGAGCATGAACATGGAATTTGCGTTTCAAACTACATTCCTAAGATGTATTTTAACCAATTTACTTAAGCAAACAGCATCCCTGGATGGGGGGGACTGCTACACTACTGCAGAGATTTGTGAAGCAGATCCAGTTGACAGCCATTTTTTCATCCTCTATAAAAGAACACATTATTCCAAACATAATATAGGCTTGAAATCACTAAAAACAAGAAGCAGACATTGTATAACGTTTGGAAGAGACTTGCATTTTCGGAAGAAAGCCCTCATTTGAGCTGGAGGGGGAAAGGGAGATGAAAAAACAAGTCTCATTCTGCCAGACAACATGACAGGCTGAAGGGATGCTTTGTGAAGTCTCTCTTGAACAATTCTAAAAAGGACCGTGCCTCAAAGGGGGTTATTGATATTTTTACTTAATTTCTCCTGCAAGTGGCCATTGCCCAGACAACCCTTATACAGAGATAAAATGTATTATATGGGTTTAAAGGGTGTCATTTTGGTATATTTATTTCCAGGCAACAATGGAATACCAGATATCGAATACATCTACCTGTCTGCTGGTCCTTCTGGTTTTCCTACCCACTGGTTTGGGTATCTGTCCTTCTAGCTGTACATGCTCAGGAAACGACAGGAATGTGGACTGTTCAGGCAGAAACTTAACTGTACTGCCCCAGGGACTTCAGGACAACCTCACATATTTAAATCTGTCCTTTAACCAGTTTGTAGATCTCGATCATCAGCTAACGAGGTTCACCAATCTGAGGACCCTTGATATTTCAAATAATTGGCTCAAGAATGTTCCTGCTCATCTGCCTAAATCCTTATGGGAATTATATGCCACAAACAACAACATTAAAGTTCTTCAGAAACTTGATACAGCTTACCAGTGGAATCTTCGAGTGCTCGATGTTTCCAGGAATATGGTGGAAAGAGCTGTCCTGATCAACAACACACTGAGCAGTCTCAAGTTTCTCAATCTCAGCAGCAACAAACTTTGGACAGTTCCAACCAATATCCCCTACAACATAGAGACTGTGGATCTATCCAATAACTTCTTGTCCCAGATACTCCCAGGAACACTGGTGAGACTTCAGCACCTCACAAGCCTCTACCTGCACAACAACAAGTTCTCGTACATTCCTGACAAAGCTTTTGACCAGCTCCTTCAGCTGCAGGTGGTAACTCTGTACAACAACCCCTGGGCCTGCAGCGACAAACAGAACATCCCCTACGTGCTGCAGTGGGTGCAGGGCACAGCTGCCCGTGTCCTGGGGGCTCCCTGTGCCCACCAGGCCGGGCTCTGGGCCAGCGCCGCGCCCGCCTCGGCCGCGCCCACGGCCGGGGACTCCAGCCCCCCGACCAAGGGAGTGCAGGCAGCAGACAGAGCCACCTCTCCCGAGGCAGCCGAACCCACCCAAGTGACCAAAACGCACAAACAACTGAAAGCCAAGGAAGTCACTCCCCTGGCCACCCAGAGCCACCCGGTTCTGTTCCCCAGCACGGAGCAGCCCCTGCTCCGCCACCCCGACGGCCTGACCTGGAGGGACACAGGAGCCACACACACGATCCACGCCGTGGATCCAACCGAGGGCAACTCCACGGGATCATCCACCACTCCCATGACTTTAAGCATCACCAGTGGAATGCCAACAAACTACTCCAAGATGCCTCACAGCACAAGCACTACCTTAAGGAAAGAGGAGGCCGCGACGGGCGCTCCCAACACGCGCGTGCCCTCCCGAGCCAGCACCTGGGAGCTCTCCCTGGTTCCTGTGCTCCTGCTGCACGCAGTGACCGTGTTTGCTGACTGAGGGCTGGCACCCTGGGGAACTCACCGAGTGCACTCCTGTGACACACAGCTGGAGCTGAGACATCCAGTTAAAATAACGAATCGAAACACGAGAAATTCAGAGTTCTGACTCTGGTCTAAAGAAAATAACAGTTCTTAAAGAGGTGCACACTAATGTCCTGATACTAAGCTGCTACTTATTTTCATATGTCTTAATTGAGTACAACTAACCTATTCTTTTGTTTTTAAAAAATGTGCTTATTTTGTATTTAAATTTTTCATTTTACTTGCACAGAATAAACACATCAGAATTTTAAGTACTGATTTTATGTATGATTTTGTCATTGAACAACTGGAAAAAAACAGAAGGCCTGTATCATATCTGCATTGTCTTGCTTGACTTGCCAGTGAGCAATTCCTGTAATATAGCAGCACAGATGCTCTGTAAGTTATGACAACATGCAAAAGGAAGGGAAAAAATAAAGGAACTAAACTGAGCTGTTTCACTAATAAGAAGTTATTCCTGAGCAAAATTGCTAGCATGTGTATCTATGTTTGCTTCATATGTACTAGGATATTTTAAATATGAAGAACAACAGTCTTGAATTTAGGAATTAAATATGACAACGCCACGATATCTGCTAAGAGGGTGTAAACTGAGAAGGCAACATGGTCCAACTTCAGCATGGGAAAGTGGTAGGGGCCGGTATCCTTCTGCTCTGTCTCCACTTAGAGACTGCAGGCAAGTTATTGCTCTCTCCATAGCAAAAAAAACAAAAAAAAAAAAGAAAAAAAAAAGGAAAAAAAAAAGATGACAGTAGAGGAAAATGCCAGATGTTCAGTGCCATGACACGCTCCAACACCAGGGAGTTATCTACCCAAATTAACGACATGGAACTCCTTAACTTTACATCCAGTGACATCCTGAAGTGTTAATATATTCTGCTTAAAAGAGTATCTCAAATCAGCCAGAATGTAGCAAACTACTACCAGTAAAATGAAATATCAGCCAACTTCTAACACAAGTCATGTAACAAATCAATTAAGCAATTAG